GACCATTGGAAACTCTCGGGCACCGCCCGAGGGCCCAGGGTCAGTAGGGGGCCCCATGAGATGACCCTGGTACCTTTTTCATAGGCTTTTTTGAGTTTGGGCAAGGACACGGGCCCCATGATCCCCTAATGCCTGGGGGCCCCATGAGTTGTCAGTCCGCCCCTGATATAGGAAAGGCCCAACTTTAGAGTTCAGTGGGAGAACGCCACGCCGGGAAATGCAGTCCCGTGCAACTTGAGAATACTGCAGGTTCTGATGCACCGACGGCATCTGTCTCAGAGGGCGGACTTGTGGCCTGTCCGGTCCCATAGCAAGGCCCAAGCCTGTCCCTACTTGTCTTGAACCACTCCCTGCCATTTATCACTTTTCCTAACAGGTGCTCCCCTACACTAACCACTTCACAAATGCGCACCAAAACCTGGGGGCAGGACCTAAAAAGACTCTGTTGGCCCAAGAGTGGCCGCTAGGGGTCACCTGGAGTGTAGCCGACTGGAATGCTGTCTTAGAAGACAAGGAAAACATAGAGAAACCAGTTTTTCTTGACTGACCCTGGTACCTTTTTCATCATTTTTCTTCAGTTCTGCAAGTACCTCTGCAGTTGAGCGCCACTTACAGTGAAGAAAGAAGACTGCACCGGCCTACAGGTGCAAAACTGGCCTCAAGAATAGTTTGAGGAAACACAACAACATGTTTAAGGTGTTGACTTGGCTTCCAAATTTCCCAGATCGCAATCCAATCGAGCAGCTGTGAGATGTGCTGGAAAAACAAATCCGATCCATGGAGGCTCCACCGCAGAAATTACAGGACCTAAAGGTTCTGCTACTGACGGCTTGGTGCCAGATACCACAGCATACCTTCAGAGGTCTAACGGGGTCCATGCCTCGATGGGTCAGGGCTGTTTTGTTGGCAAAAAGGCAGCCTACTTAATATTAGATGGGTGGTCTTGAAGTCATGGCTGTTCGGTGCAAAAAAGGCTCAAGAATGGTTTGAGGAACATAACGAGATTGGATTGAGATCTGGAAAAATTTGTAAGCCAAGTCAACATCTCAATCTTGTGATGTTCCTCAAACTATTCTTGAGCCATTTTTGCACCGAACAGCCATGACTTCAAGACCACCCACCTAATATTAAGTAGGCTGCCTTTTTGCCAACAAAACAGCCCTGACCCATCAAGGCATGGACCCCCGCTAGACCTCTGAAGGTATGCTGTTGTATCCAGCACCAGATGCTCGATTAGATTGAGATCTGGAAAATGTGGAAAGCCAAGTCAACATCTCAATCGAGCATCTGGTGCTGGATACCACAGCATACCTTCAGAGGTCTAGCGGGGTCCATACCTCGATGGGTCAGGGCTGTTTTGTTGGCAAAAAGGCAGCCTACTTAATATTACATGGGTGATCTTGAAGTCATGGCTGCTCGGTGCAAAAATGGCTCAAGAATAGTTTGAGGAACATCATGAGATTGAGATGTTGACTTGGCTTCCAAATTTTCCAGATCTCAATCCAATTGAGCATCTGTGGGATGTGCTGGAAAAACAAGTCCGATCCATGGAGGCCCCACCGTCAGGAATTACAGGACTCAAAGGCAGCCTACTTAATATTAGGTGGGTGGTCTAGAAGTTATGGATGCTCGGTGCAAAATGGGCTCAAGAATAGTTTGAGGAACATCGCGAGATTGAGATGTTGACTTGGCCTCCAAATTTTCCAGATCTCAATCCAATCGAGTATCTGTGGGATGTGCTGGAAAAACAAGTCCAACCCCATAGAGGTCAATTCTCGCGACTTAAAGGATCTTCTACTGACAGCTTGTTACCAGATATCATAATATGTCTTGACAGGTCAGGGCTGTTTTGGTGGGAAAAGGGGATTTACTCAATATTAGGTAGGTAGTCATAAAATGATGGCTGTTTGGTGCTTTTCTGTGCAAAACCGGTTTAATAATAGTTTGAGGTTCACCGCAATGGGTCTGAGGTGTTGACTTGGCTTCCAGATTCTCCAGATCTCAATCCAATTGAGCGTCTGTGAGATGTGCTGGAAAAACAAGTCTGATCCATGGAGGCCCCACCCCCCAACTTACAGAACTTAAAGGTTCTGCTACTGACAGCTTGGTGCCAGATACCACAGCATACCTTCAGGGGTCTAGTGGAGTCCATGTCTCGACAGGTCAGGGCTGTTTTGGTGGCAAAAAGGGGGATTTGCTCAATATCAGGTGGTGGGTCATAAAGGTACGACTGTTTGGTGTATATACTCTCAGTGCTTTGGGAATCCTTTGTCATGCATTAAATATATGTAAAAAAAAAAATAACGTATTCATGTACATAGTTTTTGTATATAATATATTTGGTATAAAAATAGATATTTAAGTTTATTTACTTCAGGTAATTGTATATAAATATATTACAAATTATTGTTTTTAAAAATTATTAAAAATATCAAAAACCAAAACTGACCCAAAACACTTTAGTGTTACTAAACCCTGGACCCTGCATTCACTATATCCGATCCGCTCTGACCCCCTGACCCCGCATCTCCACTATATCCGCTCTCCCCGACCCCGCATTCACTATATCCGCTCTTCCCCGGACCCCGCATTCACTATATCCCGCATCTCCGGCCCACGGACCCCCGCATTCACTATATCCGCTCTCCCCGGACCCCGCATGTCACTATATCCGCTCTCCCCGACCCCGCATTCCCTATAATCCGCTCTCCCGACACCCCGCATTCGGTGCCCTATATCCGCTCTCCCCGGACCCCGCATTCACTAATATCCGCTACTCTCCCGGACCCCGCATATGTCACTATATCCGCTCTCCCCGGACCCCGCATTCACTATAGTTCCGCTCTCCCCGGACCCCGCATCCACTATATCCGCTCTCCCCGGACCCCGCATTCACTATATCCATCAGATCAAACAGTCTTTTTACACAATGCGGAGGATTAACCCCTTCGGTCCCGCAGTGAGTTATAACCAGCACACTTTCCTGCATCTACAGACAGGATGTCACTTTGGGGGTTTTAGTAACACTTTTAGTTTTTTTTGTTTTTTTTAAAAAAGTAAAAAATATTAACAATGGTAAAAAACACATTTTCTTCTTAAGTCTGATTGCTTTAGCAAAATTTTTTTTTTTTTTATTTTTGCTTTTCTCTCACCGAAATCCTTAACCAGGTTTAATGTCACTCAGGTCTCCTCGAGATCCGCGCTGTCCTTTTCGCACACTCGAGACGCAGCGCCATTACACATCCCCCCCTCGCTGCTCTCTCTCTCGGTACAGCCAATTATTTTTTGAACCGGGATCAGAAGCCTCTGGGACAGACAGCCATATATACTTAGCGCCGAATCTCCCGCAAGTATCACAAACCGCGGGGGGGCGCGACACCCCCTAATCTCACACGGAGATAGACATGCGTATTAATACAAATTGCTGTATTTCTCTTTTTTTTTATTTTCTTCTAGGGCCATTATAAACCCACTTTAATCCCAAGATCGAATCCTACGCCGCCGTGAATCACATCTCGCAATTATCCGAGGAGCAGGTAAGGGGGGGGAAAAAAAATTATAATAAAGAGTAATAAAAAAATAAAATAAAATAAATCCTTTTTTTTTTTTTGTTTCCATTTTTTTAGTTTTTATTTTTTTTTTTTTGCTTTACATTTTTTTATTTTTATTTTTTTTTGCTTCCATTTTTTTTTTTTGCTTTCCATTTATTTATTTATTTTTTGCTTTACATTTTTTAGTTGTTTTTATTTTTTTTTTTGCTTTAAATTTTTTTTATTTTTAATTTTTTTTTTTTTTTGCTTTACATTTTTTATGTATTTTTTTTTTTTTTTGCTTTCCATTTTTTTTATTTTTATTTATTTTTTTTTGCTTTCCTTTTTTTTTTTCCCGGAATTTCAGGCGTCTTGTAATGTGATTTCTTGTGAAGCTTTTAGTTGAAGCACTATTAAGCTCCGATCCCTGTGGTTATTGACAAAAGACCAAGTGCGTTCAGGCAGCGGCGGCGGTGGCGTATTTCTAAAGCTCCTGCCTTTGTTAGCTGCAGGTCTGTGGTGGCATTAAAGCTGCTTATATTTTGCCTTTCCCTCCTAATCACATTTTCAGATAAGCTGTTTGTTTTATTACATACCCTCTTTTTTTTTTTTTTTTTTTTTTAGAGCCAGTGACATCATCACTGGGTCTCTGTGCTTCTCTACGCAATGCATGGCTGATGGAGGCGGGGGGCTGGAAGGGTGCTGTACATCGCTTCCTGAAAGCATCACAGTACCCTCCCTTCTCAAGATCCCTCAGCTCTGATAACAGGCAGCGGGCTGGCTCTTGGAAGGAGTTGTGGAAACATCAAAGTGCCTTGGTGAGTGGGTTTCAGTCTGGCCCTCCCACCAGCCATGATCTGACTGCATTCCATGATGAAACATAGAGACCCAGTGATCATAAAACAATGTATGGAATGAAAATGGGCAACACAGTGGCTAAGTGGTTAGCACTTCCGCTTGGCAGTTCTCGGGGTCGCTGGTTAGAATCCCTCCCAACCACGGCATCACCTGCCTGGAGTTTGCGTGTTCTCCCTGTGCCTGCGTGTGTTTCCTCCGGTTTCCTCCCACCCTTCAAGACATGCTGGGAGGTAATTGGATCCTGTCTAAATTGTCCCTAGTATGTGTATTTATGAATGTGAGTTAGGGATCTTAGATTGTACGCTCCTCGGGGGCGGGGACTGATGTGAACGTACAATATTTATGTAATGAGCTGCGTAAATTGATGGCGCTATATAAATACCTGAAATAATAAAATGGAAAGGTTTTATTTAAAAGCATGTTAATGGGGGAGAGAGGGGGAAGGGAAGGGGAGAGAGGGGGAGGGGAATGGGAGGGGGAGGGGAATGGGATGAGGGGGAGAGGGAACCAGGAAGGGAATATGAAAGCCTGTTTTACATCAGCGGTGTGTGAACTCATAAAATCAGATTTCAAGCCATTATACATACAGGAGGTTCAAACAAAAATCATAGTAATAGTTGCATCCAGGGGCGGACTGACCATTTGGAAACTCGGGCACTGCCCGAGGCCCGGGGTCAGTAGGGGGCCCCATGAGATGCCCCTGGTACCTTTTTCATAAGCTTTTTTTGAGTTTGGGCAAGGACACAGGGGCCCCATGATCCCCTATTGCCCGGGGGCCCCATGAGGTTTGTCAGTCTGCCCCTGGTTGCGTGACTTCGAAGAACAGAAGGAATAGATATGTGAAGTAAAATCATATTGTCATATCATTTGTTATAGTATATAATATTATTTTAATTATTGCAATTTATTTATTGCAATTTTATTATCAGTATTATTATTTTATTTTATTATTTAATAATATTATATTAATATAATATTATTATTATTTGTAATTTATTCTTTCAATTTATTGCCCTAATTTCTTATGCGTTGAAGTAATACAAGGAATCTTTGCTCCTTTAGGTTTGTAAATTTTTTTTTTTTTTTTTTTTTTTTTTTTTTTTAGAATTGTGCATTTGAAATTTACAAGGGTTCCTAATATAACTATTGCTATTTAATATCATTATAATTATTTTTATTTGTTATTTAATAATATTAATATATTAGAATAAATTACAAATAATAATAAAAATATTTATAATATATTATTATTAAATAACAAATAAAAGAATAATAATAATATTAAATAGCAATAGTTATATATTAGGAACCCTTGTAAATTTCGAATGCACAATTCTAAAAAAAAAAAAAAAAAAATTTTCACAAACCTAAAGGAGCAAAGATTCTTTTTACTGTTCAACGTATAAGAAATTATTGAATGACAGAATAAATTACAAATAATAAAAATTTATAATGTCAATTCATTGCCCTAATTTCTTATGCGTTGAAGTAATGCAAGAAATCTTTGCTCCTTTAGGTTTGTGAAATTTTTTTTTTTTTTTTTTTTTTAGAATTGTGCATTTGAAATTTACAAGGGTTCCTAATATTATATCATAATTATTACAATATATTATTATATAATACTATATTATAATTATTAATATTTAATATTACTAAAATACTAATGTATTTTGATTATTTAATATTAATTATTATATTTTGCCCTAATTTCATATGCATTGAATTAATGCATACAAAAGGATCGTTGCTCCTTTTGGTTTGTGAAACTTTTCTTTTTTTTTTTTTTTTTTTTTTTACTTTGCACTTGAAATTTACTAGGGATCTTAATTTTATAATAATATAATTATTTACAATATATTATTATATAATACTAAAATATGATTTTCTTTATAATATCAAATAATAAAAAATATTAATAGTATATTTTATATTATCATTTCATATTATTATTTAAATGTATTTTAATTATTATTATTATTTGTAATTGTTCGTACAATTCATTGGCCTAATTTCCTGAAGTAATACAAGGAATCTTTGCTCCTTTAGGTTTGTGAAATTTTTTTTTTTTTTTTTTAGAAATTGTGCATTTGAAATTTACAAGGGTTCCTAATATTTATAACATAATTATTACAATATATTATTATATAATACTATATTATAATTTATTAATATTTGATATTACTAAAATACTAATGTATTTTGATTATTTAATATTAATTATTATTATTATTATATTTTGCCCTCATTTCATATGCATTGAATTAATGCATACAAAAGGATCGTTGCTGCTTTTGGTTTGTGAAACTTTTCTTTTTTGTTTTTTTTTTTTTTACTTTGCACTTGAAATTTACTAGGGATCTTAATTTTATAATATAATGATTACAATATATTATTATATAATACTAAAATATGATTTTCTTTATAATATCAAATAATAAAAAATATTAATAATATATTTTATATTATCATTTCATATTATTATTTAAATGTATTTATTATTATTATTATTATTTGTAATTGTTCGTACAATTCATTGGCCTAATTTCCTGAAGTAATACAAGGAATCTTTGCTCCTTTTTTGGTTTGTTTTTTTTTTTTTTTTTTTTAGAATTGTGCATTTGAAATTTACAAGGGTTCCTAATATTATATCATAATTATTACAATATATTATTATATAATACTATATTATAATTATTAATATTACTAAAATACTAATGTATTTTGATTATTTAATATTAATTATTATTATTATATTTTGCCCTAATTTCATATGCATTGAATTAATGCATACAAAAGGATCGTTGCTCCTTTTGGTTTGTGAAACTTTTCTTTTTTTTTTTTTTTTTTTTACTTTGACTTGAAATTTACTAGGGATCTTAATAATTTTATAATATAATTATTACAATATATTATTATATAATACTAAAAATATGATTTTCTTTATAATATCAAATAATAAAAAATATTAATAGTATATTTTATATTATTATTTCATATTATTATTTAAATGTATTATTTGAATTATTATTTGTAATTGTTCGTACAATTCATTGGCCTAATTTCCTGAAGTAATACAAGAAATCTTTGCTCCTTTTGGTTTGTTTGTTTTTTTTTTTTTTTTTTTTTTTTTTTTTTTTAGAATTGTGCATTTGAAATTTACAAGGGTTCCTTATATTATAACATAATTATTACAATATATTATTATATAATACTATATTATAATTATTAATATTTGATATTACTAAAATACTAATGTATTTTGATTATTTAATATTAATTATTATAATTATATTTTGCCCTAATTTCATATGCATTGAATTAATGCATACAAAAGGATCGTTGCTGCTTTTTGTTTGTGAAACTTTTCTTTTTTTTTTTTTTTTTTACTTTGCACTTGAAATTTACTAGGGATCTTAATTTTATAATATAATTATTACAATATATTATTATATAATACTAAAATATGATTTTTCTTTTTATAATATCAAATAATAAAAAATATTAATAGTACATTTTATATTTCATATTATTATTTAATATGATCATATTATTTAAATGTATTATTTTTAATTATTATTATTATTAGTAATTGTTCGTACAATTCATTGGCCTAATTTCCTGAAGTAATACAAGAAATCTTTATTCCTTTTGGTTTGTGAATATTTTTTATAAATTTTTTTTCTTTTTCTTTTTTGTGGCTTGATATTTAAAAGGGATCTTAAAGAGACGTCCACCCACATCCCCGGCTCGGTAATTTCTGAAAACTCATTTTTCTGGTGACTGAAGCCGGCCCAGAACAGCTATTTTTTTTTTTTTTTTTTTTTTTCCAGATGCATGATTAATAGGTTATTCTTTTGAAGCAGCAGCGGGGTTTTCTCCTGCATAACCTGCAGCGCTGTGTTTTATTTCTCCGCATGAATGGCGGGAGCGCTCTTCTAGGCTCGCTGCTTTTTGCCTTTGATGTTATTATGTTTGGGTGATGTGCTGTTATGTTCTGGAGCTCCGCCCCCTCAGCACAATGCCTCTGACTGTCTCTCTGTGTAGTCAGAACCGTGCGTAATTTAGATTATTCCGCTCCTCATTCCTGAGGAAAGCAAATTCAGAATTTACATTTTGTGTTGTTTGTGCCGTATGGACAGATGAGATTTTTAAAGCAGCAAACTCCGGCACAGTTGTAACAGCTCCCACTGACACCAATGATGGGCACTAATTCCTCCCGCTGACACCAATGATGGGGCACTATTCCTCCCACTGACACCAATGATGGGGCACTATTCCTCCCACTGACACCAAGGATGGACACTAATCCTCCCACTGATACCAATGATGGGGCGCTATTCCTCCCACTGACACCAATGATGGGGCGCTATTCCTCCCCACTGATACCAATGATGGGGCACTATTCCTCCCACTGACACCAATGATTGGGGCGCTATTCCTCCCACTGACACCAATGATGGGACACTATTCCTTCCACTGACACCAATGATGGGTCACTATTCCTCCCACTAACACCAATGATGGGGCACTATTTCCTCCCACTGACACCAATGATGGGTCACTATTCCTCCCACTAACACCAATGATGGGGCACTATTCCTCCCACTGACACCAATGATGGGGCACTATTCCTCCCACTGACACCAATGATGGGGCACTATCCTCCTCCCGCTGACACCAATGATGGGGTAATATTCCTCCCGCTGACACCAATGATGGGGTAATATTCCTCCCACTGATACCAATGATGGGGTAATATTCCTCCCCCGCTGACACCAATGATGGGGCACTATTCCTCCCATTGACACCAATGATGGGGCACTATTCCTCCCAGTAATACCAATGATGGGGCACTATTCCTCCCACTGACACCAATGATGGGGCACTATTCCTCTCACTAATACCAATGATGGGGCACTAATTCCTCCCACTGACACCAATTTATGGGCACTATTCCTCCCACTGACACCAAATTGCAATTTGGGCACTATTCCTCCCACTGACACCATTTTATGATGGGGCACTATTTTTTCCCCACTGACACCAATTATGGGGCATTAACTTTATGACTTCCTATTTTTTTTTTTTTTACATTTGAAATTTTTTTTATTTACCAATGATTTTTAAACTATTAATCCTCCCACTGACACTAAAATGGATGGCGCGCTAACTTTTAAGTAAAACTGATTACCAATGATGGGGCGCTATTTCCTCCACCACTTATACCAATGATGGGGTAAAGATTCCTCCCACTCAAACAAATGAAATAATAATCATATTTCACCCACTATACATAATGATTCATCATTATTTTTTACTGGAGGGTTTTTTTCTTTTGGATACAATTGGGGCACTATTCCCCCACTATATACACCAATTGTGGGGCACTATTCCTCCCACTGACAACCAATTGATGGGGCAACTATTCCTCCCAATTACTGACACCAATGATTTTAAACTTTTTATTCCTCCACTGACACCAATGATGGGACTTAAAAATATGTTCTTTTCACTGACACCAATGAGGAGCACTAATCCTCCCACTGACACCAATGATGGGGCACAATTTCCTCCCACTGATACCAATGATGGGCAATTTCTTTTTTCCCCCACTCCCACCAATGCATGGGCACAATATCCTCCCATCAAATTAATTGGGCATTATTTTTTATTTTTCCCAGTGATACCAATGACTGGGGCACTATTTCCTCCCAATTTATTTTTATGAATTATTTTAGCACTATATTTCCTCCCACTGTCATTACCAATGATGGTTTTTTTTCTATTCTTTTTTTTTATTTATACACCAATTTTTTTATTTCCTCCCAGTGATAATTTAATGGCAACTATTCCTCCCCCACTGATACCAATGAAGGGGCACT